AGGATGCTGTGATAGTTGGAACAAGGCCATGAATTAGGGAAGAAACAGTGAAAATGAAAAGGGGCCAGAAGACATATATGGAGAAAACATGACAGACATTGATTCAATGAGGCTGACTACCAATTTGATGTCAAGTTGCACAAGAGAAGTCAACACAATCAACTTCAATTCTAAGTGTTAGTAACTAAAAGGTGGCATTGCCAGGAATAGAAAAATGGGTATGGATTTAGACAAAAGGTAATGGGTTAGTTTGGAGGAATGTTGGTTTAAGTATACCCATCCAGTGATTACAAGTCTGGTCTACAGCAATGAAAAATAAGGCTAACAATACAGATTTAGGAACTGATTGAATGAAGTTAAAGTTGAAGCTATTAGAATACATAAAATTGCAGAACTTAAAAATGTAAATAAAAAATAAATATGGACCAAGAATATACCTAGGAGAATCTGCTTTCAAAGTGTAAAAAAGGAAGAAGAGGTAGAGGCTGAGCAGCAACACGTGCAGAGAGAGACAAACAGAGAGCACGCTGTCATATAAGATGGTAGCACAAGAGAAAGGTCAAAGAAGAGGAACAATGAAAGACAGACATGAAAACTGAGGGTTTGCCCTTCATCTGGGCCTGCCAGGTTGAACAGAATATAATGGCAATTGATCAAGATAAATAGATAAACAAAATGTAGTATATCTACATAATAGTATACTACTTAACCATAAAAAGGAACGAAATCCTGTCATTCACAGCAACATGGATGGAACTGGAGAACAACATGGGTGGAACTGGAGAACATGGATGCTAAGTAGTAAGCCAGGGACAGAAAATTAAATGTCACATGTTCTCACTTACATATGCAAGATATAAAATGTTGATTTCACAGAAGTATAAATGAGAACAGAGAATACTACAGGGTGGGAAGGTAAAGAGAGAGAAGGATAGGGAGAGCTTTGTTAAAGGAAGCAAAATTACAGCTAAGTAGGTGCAATAAATTCTAGTGTTCTTTAGCATGGTAGGATGAATATAGTTAACAGTAATCTATAGTTTCAGATAGCTAGAAGGAGGATACTGAACATTCCTAACATAAATAATAATTTTTTTACGTGATGGCTATGCTAATTACCCTGATCACTATTCATTACATGTATTAAAACATCACTATGTACCCCATAAATATGTATTATTATTATGTGTCAATTGAAAAAAAAGTGTAAGAAAAAGAAGTATGTGGTGAAAACTATGTAAGGGATAATTCAGTAATGCGAGGACATTAAAAAAAAATTACCCTTATGCTAAAGAAGATCTGACCACACCTACAGGAAATAAAAATTCAACAAAGGAAGAGAAGACAAAGATGTAATAAAAGCAGGGAGAGGGCAGCATTGGTGTGCAATGCCGTAGGGAAAAATGACATCAAAATAATTTACTTGCTCATCAAACAGTTCTTGAATGACTACTATACCACATTTCAGGTAGTGTATTCCCAGAGCTGTTAGAGTTGATCTTTTCAATCAACCTTACCTTCACTCTGTTTAGAAGACATTTCATATGTTTGTTCATCTGTGATTAAGACTGAAACTGTAATATTTTAGTACTGATAGCAAGGCCCCCAAAGGGTAGGTCTGAAAATCTGGAAACCGTAAGACCAGAAAAAAGAAAGATAAAGTAAATGAAGATAAAAATAAATGTATTAATATCTGACAAATGTCTCAAAACATAAAGTATCTGAAATTTTCTGTATGTCTTATTAGGGTATACAGCAAGAGCTGGTAAACTATGGCCTACAGACTAAATCTGACCTACTGTCTGTTTCTGTAAATAAAGTTTTATTAAAATAGAGCCAGACTCATTTGTTTATTGTCCATGGCTACTTTCCTGCTATAGTGGCAGAGTTGGCTAACTGAGTTGCTGAGTTTCAATAGAGACTATATGGCCCAAAGCCTAAATATTTATTATTTGGTCTTTTGCACAAAAAAATGTTGGCTAACACTTGTTGTATCAAGACAAAAGAGGTTTGGATCTTGGCCAATTATCTTGCAGTTAAACTTTTTATGTGAGAGGTTTAAATTCATGTGCAATTATTTATATACCCACCCAGAATATCAATATTCATAATTTCCGGTGCTTCCTGTAGAAAGATTACACAGTGCAAATTACCATATAATTTTTGTTCATTTTTTATCCTTTACAGCAATACCTTTTGAAATGTAACTTCCAAATGCTGACTGACTGATTTGAGAGATTTTATATATACTTTTCTACTCTATTCTACAGGGAATAATTTATGAAACAGAAGAATTTCATTCCCTATTATCATATTTTAATTGATTATTTTGTAATAATATTTGTTTAGTCCTTTTTTAAAAATCCCAAACTCCATTGTCCTAACCCAATATCATTTTCACTCTGTTAAATATACAATTTGTAAGATTTTCTTAATATAGTTTAAGGTTGTAACTAAGCAATTTCATTCATAATCTCAACATCTCATGGCACTGTTCAGAATTTGTAAAGTTCGTTTCCATGAAAGGATTTAGTCTAGTAAAGGTTCAGATATGTTATATATTGTTATTCATAAAGAAAGCACTGCTGGGCAATGGCTCATGAGTACAATCCCAGCATTTTGGGAGGCTGAAGTGGGAGAATCCCTTGAGCTCAGGAGTTCAATATCAGCCTAGGCAACTTAGTGAGAGCCCATCTCTACAAAAAAAAAAAAAAAAAAAAATAAAAGAAAAGGAAACAAAAATAACTGGGCATGGTGGCACACATCTGTAGTCCCAGCTGCTTAGAAAATTGAGGAGGGAGATTCTCTTGAGCTGGGGAAGTCAAGGCTTCAGTGAGCCAAGATGGTGCCACTGCACTCCAGCCTGGGAGCCTGGGCAACAAAGCAAGATTCTGTCTCAAAAAATTAAATAAAAAAGAAAGCACCACTACTTCCAAGATGTTAAATTGCCATGAAAGAGAATTGTCACTACCTTGTGTTCAAAAGAAATGTGAAACAGAGCATAAAATGTGAAAACATAAAACAAATAAGTTCTAAATAATCAGAGGACGCCACATTAAGTTGTCACTATTGATTCAAAAGGAGACTGTAATATTGGAATCTTTCTTGGAAAAGGGTATGAACTTATTTTAATAAAAACCTGAAATTCACAAACCAATGAAAACTGAACCACAAGAAGTTAATATATTTCTAGTGGAGGGAAATGCAGCTGCTTTTATTTGCCACTTCCTGCTAAGTCTGAAAGAGACTTCTTCAGCTTTGCAGTATGCCTGTTTGCATTACAAAATCTAATAATTGTTCAAGGATAGTTTGCCGAGTGTGGTATACCTTGAGAAAGAAATTCTTCATTTCTATCTATGGGCATATGTGCATATTATTAAGGAAATGGGTAACATTATTACAGTGTTTTACACTTTACAAATCACTGTGATGTTTTATTTAATCCTAAGAAAATCCTATAAGGTAGATATTATTATGGTAAAAGCAACGGGTACAGTTAAAAGAAACTGCACAATAGCTAAAGGACTGTTCAAGTCTACACAACTACTTAGTGGCTATAAGTAAGACTAGAACCCTGCTGTCACTTGATTCCCAAGCCAGTACTCTTTCCCCTGCCTCCTTCAAAATATCACACAGTCTATCTTCCAATAAGACTCAATATTTATAAGCATGAACCTTTGTAATCCAACATACATTGTTTGGTCCCTCATTTACCCTAACATGCTATGTGAGTTAACTATACCTTAGTTTTCTCTCCCAAGAAAATGCATAAAATAAACCAGCTACTTCATACAGAGCCTTTCTAGTGTTTTAATGGGATAACAGTATATGACATGTACTAAAGAGCCTGGAAATAGTTGAAATTATTATGAAGAATACTTTAATCAGGTCTAAGGAACAATTTTGCCTCACTTATTTAGTTGCTTTAGGGAAAAGATATTTCAGGCCCTTTTGCCATTATTCCCTCCTTGTATTGTTGTAGTTTTAAGAATCAGTACAAGAAATACTACAAAATGTAAAAAAAACAGTTGCCAGCTTACAATTATATTTGGCTATATGTATCTAGCTGATGTAATCATCAAAGGACATTACTAGAGTCAGTATCTAAGACTAGGAATATCAAGTGTAATCATTACTATGTCTGGTTATTGCTGAGTATTAATCACAGTTTTAATTATTTAAAAGAACATTTAATGAATGCTGTCTATTCCACAGAGGCTTTTCATGCACCAATGGTAGGGGAGAAAAGGTACATCTATATTGAAAGAATAATGTCTGTGACTCTTTCAACTGTTAAATTACTTCAATTATTTTCTATTACCCTAAAATATCAGATAGATTAAGAGGTATATAATAGTCTCGATGACCTCATCTACCTTCAAACAAAAGAAAGCTACTGGAATAGGAAAGAATGGGCTGAATTATTGAACCAGATTTTTGGTAGAAAGAGATCAAGATATATTCTCCAGAAAAAAACCTTCATCTTTGCCTTGTTCTACCCAATACAAATTCCTAATTATTTTTATCAACATGGATAAATTTTAGAACATTAGGAAATATACAGTGTTTTTTACTCACAATTATTCAACTAATGGAGGGAAGGAAGCCTTGCTAAATCCAGAAAGCAGAAGTTCTTAACTTGAGGAAAGGAGAAGCAGATCAGATCCTGGGTCAAATTCAGTTATGTGTATGTACATCTGAGCATAAGCATAGCTACTTAATTAAATACAGGTATCCGAGGTTAATTATCCAAAGACTTGCATTTAATTTAATTCCTTACCCTGCCATCAACTAACTTTATGATATTGGACTCATTGTTTAAACTCAGCCTCAGTTTAGTTAAAAATTAAGAATACTAAAAATTATACTGATAATCTGATAGAATTTAAAATAATATAAGCAAAAGCCCTTTCTGCTTTGTGAAACAGCATATTGGAATATGGAATCGTTGGATTTTTATCTATGCAAAAAAAATTAATCTAAATTTCAAATATTTGTCTTAGGTGATCCGAAAGGGAGAAGTCAGCTGTTGTTGGACCTGTACACCTTGTAAGGAGAATGAGTATGTCTTTGATGAGTACACCTGCAAGGCATGCCAGCTGGGGTCTTGGCCCACTGATGATCTCACAGGTAATCTATCACAATCTCACACATGTAAATTAACTGAAAGAAGACACAGGCATGGGAGAGGGGGGTCACATCTCCATGTGTTACTTATCTTGGGGAGTCTTATTTATGAAACAAAGAATTTCTTTGTGAACACAAGCCTTCCCAAAGTGTGAGCTACTTATTAAAATCTTCAAATCTCCAGGAGAGATCTGCCTATATTCCCGTCCTCATTCCAAAAGGACAACAGAATTCCTAGCTTGTCTACTGGGCATTCTTCCTTCATCCCCAGGACATTCTCAGAAGTTCCTCAGTAGGCTCCCACTTAAGTGTGTCATTTTCGGGGAAGAGAAAGAAACTTTAGCCAGGAAGTGTTGAAAGTATGTCATGACATTTCCAAGAACAAAAAAAGGAGCACTGAACTGGGCAGAATGTCATCTAAAGTTCTTTGCTTCTCTTAATTGTTTTTATTAATTGAAATCAGGAGGCTCCAACTAGTAAGTTTTCAAGTATTTTTGGCCCAGGGCAAGACTTGATTTTACTTTATTTTTTGTTTTGTTTTGGTTCTTTGTGCCAAAAGATGTTAAAGAATATGCCATTTTTTTTTCCAGTTTATATTTCATAGTCCTTTCTCATTTTTACAATATAAAAACAGAATATGATAACTTTCATACTGTCTTTGAACTTTTCTTCAATAAATATTTATTAAATGCATTCATGCTTATTTGCCTACCACTAAAATAAAAATATAAAAACACTACCTCTATTTTAATGAGTTTACAGATTAATAAAGAAGGCAGTAAGTTAAAATATGATAATATAATAGATTTATAGACACAGGAGCCTGAAGAGAGCACCCATGAGCTGAGTCTGCAGGAGAAAGAGGAAAAAAGCCTTGCAGGCAGAGGGCACACCATGTGGTATGTCAGGTTGTCTAGTGGTTTTAGAATTTAGATGGATTTAGCACAAAATTTCTAGAAGCTAGATCATAAGGTCATCAGTATTAGATTCCATCTCTCCCAAGACAAATGATTTTATTCATAGTAGTTGTATTCACTTATTTCAAAAGTCTGGTTACAAAAAAATCCATGATCCTGGGTCTTTCAAGACAGCTCACTTTTTTGTAATGATTGATATGTATACAGAAGACTTTTCCTTCTCTTTAAAAAAATTGATTTCATAAAACACCAAAGGGCCTTGTGATAGCAATTTGAATCCTATTTTCACCATTAGACTATGAGCTTTCTGATGCTCTTATTCATCCCGTTTTCCCCAGAGCTGACTCAGTGCTAAACACAAAGCCTTCAATAAATTTTGTTGAATAGACGAACTACAGTGTGCCTATGTGCACACACACAGTAAAAATGTCAAAAAGAAAAAAAATACTATGAGTGGTTTACTTGAAGGAGGATGAGGCACAGAATTGCTGATCTTTTCTTCATTCTATTCCTTTACCTGTTTTTCTAATTTCCAACTGGATTATTGTGAAAATGAAAAGTTGTCTTGCATCATGAACTAACTTGCATGGCTAAACACCTTGAGAATGAATATACAGATGTAACTTTTTGCCCCATGCTTTGTAAGTTTATGCTACTGGGAATGAACACAATCTGTTCTTTCATTATTTCAATGGATAAATATTTTATTATTACTATTTCAATTATAATGTTAGATACTAGAGAAAATGAAGTGAAAAAATGGCAATGGTTCCTGTGTCAGTTGTTCTCTATATGCACATGGCTGGCCAGCTATTTGTTCGCTAATGGGCTATTTGTGTACCTCACAGACAAAGTGCATATCATGTCAAACAATAGGAATAAAAAAATATAAATATTAGAGAGGTCATAATTTAAATTTGTGGCGATAAAATTTCCCTCTGAAGAATAAAAATTAGCTGAGACCTAAATAATAAATATAAAAATTTAGCCAATAATGACTAAGAAGAGATTTGTCTGGGGAAACAGCACATGTGAATGTCTCTATATGGGTAAGCAGGTAGGAAAATGGTGTCAGAAGAGGTAAAAGATACAAAAAATGTAGCAGGGGCAAGAACCTATGCAGCTTAGGGGAACATGTTCAGGATTTGAATGTTTTATTATATAGACAATGAGACATCACTGCAGGATTTTAATATAAGAAAAAATACATGATTATAAGTATATTTTTAAATTGAAACATGAGTTGATGCTCACTTTACAAAAAAAAAAAGTTAAGAAGGTACTCGAAAGAGGAAGTAGCTCTTTCAGAATTATTAACATCATAAGCTAAGGAAGACTAATAGGCTATCAGTCTCCTCATATAAAAGGTGCACACATATTTATATACTCTGTGTTATCTCAAAGATGTCCTATCTATAATATAAACATAAACCCAAACCTTTGCACTGTGAATTCCATCTTATCCCTCTTGCCAATCAACTTTCTTGAGTAACAAATCTTTCTTTTATCTTCCTTGCTCTTGATTTATCAAAGCAATTTGCCTCCCGCCCTTACCATGCTATCAGAAATATTTTAGCAGAAGATATCTGTGGCCGCCACCTGGCCAAACTAATAGCCCCTGTCAGTCCTTACTTTACAAACATTTCTGCACAATGTAATGAGCTTGATACTGAAGCCTCCTGAAGTCTTCTCCTCTGCCAGCCATGTAACACAGGTTTCTCCTATCTACGTAAACACCACTTCTGGGTGTTTTTGTTGTTGTTGCTGTTGCCTCTTCCACGTAGTCCAGATCATTAAAAATGGATGTTTTCCAGGGTTCCATCACTAGCTCATTGTGCTTTTCCCTTTACACAATCTCTCCAGGTGATGTCATCTACTTTGATGGTTTTAATTATTACCTGCATGCTGTGGATTCCCAGTTGTAGAGCACAGCCTGTATTCTTTTCCTCAGTTTGAGGATCATGAATCTAACTACTTGCAAGATATCTCCACTTGGTTAGTCCTCACTTATTTCAGTCCAGTATACCCAAACCTCGTCATTTCACCATTGTGCCTAATTAACGATAAACCTGCTTTTCCATTCTCTGGGTGGATATGGCCACCCAAATCCAGTCTCTTATCAACCCTAATGGTTTGAATTGCCAACTCTTCCTAACCACTTTCCGTCCTCTCCTAGTACAACTCTTCACTCAATAAGGTTCTCATCATCTCATATTGCAGTAACATCCCAATTTATTCCCTTGCCCCTTAGATTTATGCCACATGCCTCTAAATCCACTTTTCATCTTGCTATTTTTTAGAGAGAATTCAGATTATTTTATGACAAGAATTACACTGTTTATTATTTTGAGACAATTGTTGCAGACATAAATATTTAAAATTTTCCAAGCCAGGTACTTTTAACATTTTTTTTTAATTGGAAAGAACCAATAACTTGGATCATAGCTCACACAAAATTCCAAATTAAAGTGGACCCCATTGTCCCCCTATATTATGCAAACAATGCTTTGTATATCACTTCTTTAAAACACTAAAGGAGACAGCAAGCTGAAACTTTTTTCAAAGCACACAAGAAATAGTGTCATCACATTACTTGAAGAAGGTGCTGAGGGGAGAAATTGATCTTGCTATTGAATAATGTATTCTAAATACAGATATGTCTTTTTATTTCCTTGCTCATATAGGAGAAAGTAATTATCTTTTCTTCCCAGCTTAGGTTTGTGGCTGAAGTCCTTATAGCAAGACACAAACTAATAAGAGAAAAGCATATACATTTATTTAATGTAAGTTTTACATAGGGAAAGGAAAACACAAAAAATAGGAAAACTTGTGCATTTTTATGCTAGGTTTGACAGAGAAGTAGTAAGTCATAAAGAAGCATGATTAGATGAAAAAGCATGATCTAAGGATAGTTAGCTGGGGAGAACTCAACTACCCTGTTTGTTTAGATTTCTGTCAGTTACCTTGTGTTTTTAGAGATATACAGATGTTCACTTCCTCTGGGTACAGAGAGAGCACCTGTCAAATGAGTTTTATGACCTGCTTTCGGGGACGAACAGTGAGGGGAAGGTAAGAGTTATCTTCCTGCTTCTACTGTGTTCTCAAATGCCAAGGTGCTGTATTTTGGGGTAGTGTGTCCTGAACTCCATTACTCAAAACTTACCACTGGTTTTATATCTATATAATACACTCCAAGCTTTTCAACATAGCATACAAAATGTCCTGTCTTAACCACATGCTTATGATCTTTCTAGTTTCAATCACAACTTTCCATCTTTCATTTTACATTCTATTATGAAAGACTGCTCATAATTCTCATCCACACATAATGCTGTTTTATTCCTCCCTGTAAGTACATATATATATTGTCTTCTATGCCTGGAATGTGCTTACCCCTCTTTCTTTACTTGAGTAACTCCCACTTATTCTCCCTTACTCTGCTCAGGTGTTACCTTCTCTGTGAAGCCTCCTTTGATAGACTACAAAGTTTCCATTTCTGTATTTACAAAACAAATTCTGCTTCCCTCTTTAAATCATTTTTCAAACTAGATTTTAAAGACCTGTATACATATCGGCTGCTCCTACGGAAATGTTAGTTTCTCATGAACAGAGCTGTCTTTTAAACATATTTGTAATCTCAGCACCTAATACAATGCCTGACATAGAGTAAGCTTTTAGTAAGTATGTGTCAACCTCCAGTAAAATGATGGAGAGTGTTACAGATGAAGATTAAAGTAGGTATTAAGGCCAGCTTGTGGGGAAAGCCTTTAATTAATGAGTTCAGAATTTATCCTATAGATAGCATGGGGCCAAAGTAGGTTTTCACACAGAAAAATAAAATGATTCTCTGGCTAGGTGCATATACGTGAGTGGGTGTATGTGTGTGGGAGGTCTAGGTGGAGAACAAATCTCAAACCTAGAAAAGTCTTTGCATTGATATCATGTGAAGTTTAACCTCTAACTGGAGTCTACAGCACTTTTTCAAAGAGCCCATTGCTGTGTGCAAGCTCACCTCAGTGACTCTGATTCAAAGTAACCTATCACTCAGAATTGCTAGTTACAAGAATGTTCTGATGGCTTCAGCTA